AGTATCTGATACTTTTTGTACTTAAGTATCAAAAGTAAATTTCTGACACAAAATCTACTTAAGTATTAAAAGTAAAAGTACTGAGTAAAAGTGAGCAGTTAGATTTTATAAAATGACATTTATTGGGAGGTGACTTCTCCCAGAGTTGTAAATCAACTAAGTACAAATACTTTGTTACTCTACTTAAGTAGAAATCTAACTGCTCATTTTTACTGAATACTTTTACTTTTATTACTTAAGTACAGTTTATGTCAGAAATTCACTTTTGATACCGAAGTACAAAATAAATCAGATACTTTAAGACTTTTACTCAAGTAATAATCTTAGAGGTGACTTGAACTTTTACCAAAGTAATTTTTTTGACAAGATACTTGTACTTTTACTCAAGTACCACTTTCAGGTACTACATACAACACTGACTTCTCCAAAAACTATATTTTCTAACAGCGTGCAGCTGTGATGGGTTGTGTACAAGCTAATAGTGTGTCAGTAAAGTACAGATAACCAAAATTTTTACTTAAGTACAGTAACAAAGTATTTGTACTTAGTTACTTTACAACTGTGACTCAGCGAGGTCACCTCATTTACCCACAATGCATCTGGGCTGTAGGTCCCACCCCTCAGGTGGCTCCGCCTCTCAGGTGGCCCCGCCTCTCAGTGGCCCCACCTCTCAGGTGGCCCCGCCTCTCAGATGGCTCCACCTCTCAGATGGCTCTGCCTCTCAGGTGGCCCCGCCTCTCAGGTGGCTCCGCCTCTCAGGTGGCCCCGCCTCACCTCTGTAACAGTTTACCTTGAAGGTTCAGAGAGACCCAAGGTCTGTCAGGACCAGAGTTCTGACTGGGTCCAGTTGGAGTCTGACCCAGTACCTGCTGTGTCTCAGGTACGTCCCTCCTCTGCTGTGGGGGAAGAGCGGCCATCTTCAGACGGCTCTGTACGGTAAACTGGGTCGGGTCAGCTCGCCCCACCCCTGTGGGATCAGGAAGTACTTACCCATGCAGGACGGGGCCACCGCCACCTTTGACCTCTTCGAGCCTCTGGGGGACCACGGGACCGGAGGTGGGTTCAGCTCTGCTTGTGTTGGGGGTGGGGGGTTGAGGGGGGCGTTCTGTGTCTCAGGGCTTTGATCTGTGTCCAGATGACGTCACCATGGTGATCTGTCCCGGCATCGGGAACCACAGTGAGAAACATTACATCAGGACCTTCGTGGACCACGCCCAGAGGGAGGGCTACAGGTGTTCAGTCCTGAACCACCTGGGTGCTCTACCCAACATCGAGCTCACGTCTCCTCGCATGTTCACCTACGGTCAGCACCTGACCTTTGAACCTGATCCTGATCCTAACCTTTGATCCTTTGATCCTGATCCTGACCTTTGATCCTGATCCTAACCTTTGATCCTTTGAACCTGATCCTGATCCTAACCTTTGATCCTTTGACCCTGATCCTGACACTTTGATCCTGATCCTTTAATCCTGACCCTTTGAACCTGATCCTGACTTTTTGATCCTGATCCTGACGCTTTGATCCTGACCCTTTGATCCTAACCTTCGATCCTAACCTTTGATCCTGACCCTTTGACCCTAACCTTTAATCCTGATCCTGACCCTTTGATCTTGACCCTTTGATCCTGACCCTTTGATCCTGACTCTTTGATCCTGATCCTGACCCTTTGACCCTAACCTTTGATCCTGATCCTGACCCTTTGATCCTGACGCTTTGATCCTGTCTCTTTGACCCTAACCTTTGAACCTGACCCTTTGATCCTGACCCTTTGATCCTGACTCTTTGATCCTGATCCTGACCCTTTGATCCTGACGCTTTGATCCTGTCTCTTTGAACCTGACCCTTTAATCCTGACCCTTTGAACCTGACCTTTGATCCTGATCCTGTCCCTTTGATTTTGACCCTTTGATCCTGATCCTGTTATCATGACCCTTTGATCCTGATCCTGACCCTTTGACCCTAACCTTTGATCCTGATCATGACCCTTTGAACCTGATCCTTTGATCCTGACCCTTTGATCCTGATCCTGTCCCTTTGATTTTGACCCTTTGAACCTGATCCTTTGATCCTGACCCTGACCCTTTGAACCTGACCCTTTGACCCTTTGAACCTGACCCTTTGACCCTGACCCTTTGAACCTGACCCTTTGATCCTGACCCTTTGAACCTGACCCTTTGATCCTGATCCTCACCCTTTGAACCTGACCCTTTGAACCTGACCCTTTGATCCTGACCCTTTGATCCTGACCCTTTGAACCTGACCCTTTGAACCTGATCCTTTGATCCTGATCCTGACCCTTTGAACCTGACCCTTTGATCCTGACCCTTTGAACCTGACTCTTTGATCCTGACCTTTGATCCTGARCCATGTCTGAGGCTCACCTATCAACCTCTGCGCTCCCACAGGGTGCACCTGGGAGTTTGCTGCCATGGTGGGGTACATCAAGCGCACATACCCCCAGACCCAGCTGGTGGTGGTGGGTTTCAGTCTGGGCGGGAACATCGTTTGCAAGTACCTGGGCGAGAACCGAGCCAATCAGGAGCGAGTGCTGTGCTGCGTGAGCGTGTGTCAGGGCTACAGCGCTCTCAGGTAGGTTTCCTGTGGTCCTTGAACGCACCGTCTCCTCACTGCTTCCTGTCAGTGTCTGGTTCTTTCCTGCTGGACCGGTCCGGCCCGTCTCTCTGAGCTCTGTGTTTGTGTCTCAGGGCTCAGGAAACATTCCTGCAGTGGGATCAGTTCAGACGCTTCTATAACTTCCTGATGGCTGACAACATGAAGAAGATCATCTTCTCACACAGGTAGCAGCTGTCCCACCTGTCCCACCTGTCCCACCTGTCCCACCTGTCTCACCTGTCTCACCTGTCCCACCTGTCCAACCTGTCCCACCTGTCCCACCTGTCCTCCACTCACCTATTCTAGAGCAGCGGTGTCCAAAGTCTGTCCTGCATGTTTTACATGTTTCCTGCTTCAACACACCTGACTCAGTCACTGAACTGCCTCTTCATGTTCTGCAGTATGGAAAACCAACACTGACAAAAGCAGAAATAGATAAATAAACCTTTAAATAAATAAATACATTTAAAA